TGAATGGACGAATCGATCGTGGACAAAAAATTGAACAAAAAAACGAAGTCAAAGTGTGGGACAGGACAATCACCGGATACACATAGATATTAGCAAAAGAGGGGTGTGGGTGTGTTTGAAATCATTGAGAGCGTGAGTGGAAATGTGGCGTGTGTATGTGTGTGGAAGAGAGAGTGACGTTGATGAAATCTGAATATATATGTATGTATATTTATATAAGGCACAAAAGACCGTGATATATATGTGATGTTTCGGATGCGCGTGTGTGTGGTGGTGGTGATGATGCATAAGATTATAAGATATAAGCATTATACCAGTGTAAAGAATTGAGCGATAAAGCAGATCAAATGAATGGGGACTGGAGATGAGCAGCTACTCAAGGGAATGAATGGGTACTTATTTCCGCATGCCTTCTCCACACGTATAAAGTCGGGTTGACGCACAAAAGTGATGAGATCCTGTACAACTGAGTGAGTGCAGCGGTGAGGTCCGGTGGCTGAGATCAGAGTGAGAGGATTCAGACAGATAGACCAGAAAAGGCGTTCGAGGTCAAATTACTTGCGACCATTTGAGGATACAGAACCACCACCCGCGCAACACTTGGATTTAGTTTTGGTTTTAACTCCGGGTACAGGATTGAGTTTGATCGCACTGGATTGGACATTGCGCTGTTTTTCGGCCTGGAGTAGTTTCAGTCGAAGAGCTTCCCGGGTGATCATGTCAAACATCTGGTTGGAGGATTTGGGGGAATGGGAAGTAGATGATAGTGTGAAATTAACCAACAAAACAACTCGGTTAAGAATAAATTCGATGGATGCCCGAGAAACTATACCGTACGAAGTACTAATCAGTATTTGAACAAAAAACACAATACTGCAAGTTCAAGTTTATTTCGGGAAATAATTGCTTTAATAATCAGTATTTGTTTGTGATAACCAACAAAGAGCACCAAGAGTGTCTGGTGCCGCTGAACGATCGAATGGGCTAATCCAAGCTTGCTACTCCAAAAAATGATTGAGCCAAGATGACCGTCAACTGCGTAGCTAGGGGGTATGGATTTGACGTCCCGACCCGAATGTTCGCGGTTCGAGTCCTGACAGGGACATAAGAAGTACGCACCGCCGACGAGCCCCAAACAGGACGAAAAAGCTGTCCAATGCTTGTTGTTGGTTATCACAAACATTTCTTTCGCATGTAATTGTGGGGAATTAACGATCTCCCAAGGAGTGAAACCCACACCCAAGAAAATCAAGAGTGCCTGGTGCCTATGGACGATCGAATGGGCGAATCCAAGCTTGATACTCTATACTAATCAGCATATTTTCCGACAGATAATTACCAAATAAAAGAAGCTATTTATTCGGAAGTGACAACTCGTACCGATGGGATTTTACAAGGACCTCAAACAATGTATCCGATCAAAAGCTACATCGTTGATGGCCGGAACGAACCAGAACAATAGTGGTTCACTTTGGAGATACCTTCCCATCTCGAGTACACAACGTGAGAATTCCGGGCATCTCTGAGTGCGTGTTATGTAACTGTAACATACAAAAATAGACACATGATTGGGCCGATTAGTGGTATACCGTTGCGGTTCATTCCCACAAACTGGTTCGCATCAACGCAACTGGCCATGGCGAAAGGCAAACCGACGAGTTGCGTGGGAGCAAATAACAACTACCTCTGGCCATAGTAACGTGCAATAGGTTACATGAACAGCACTGTTAACGACACTCAGTCGTGTCACCTAATACCCACGTTCAGGGACCCCCCAACCAAGAAGGCCTAGAAGTGCCTCGGTGATCAAGTTATTCGGTTACATTCTAGTGTGAAAGCGCTTGATTTGCTCACAAACTTAACCTGCCTGCATCGACGAAAATCATCCGGGGGTATCCGAGGATATGCATAGCCATCTTAGGCTGTCAAGTGTTTGGGAAAGTGTTAGACCGCGATCAGTTAACGCCCTTTACTCACCAAACTACACTGCCCATCCGGCTATTCCATCAGATTCGGATCATTCAGCGTTGATAGCTGTGCTAGGCCGTATCACTACTCTATACGCGTAGCGCGAATGAACGGAAAGACATTCGAGTGACCAGGATCTAACAAAGAGAACTCTCATGCGAATGATACGCCCCGAATACAGCTAGGAAAGCCAACCGTGGGAGGACGCCACTTTTATCGTAATACCAACTGACTGAGTTAGTCAACAATATCTAAATAGTGACCCGGAGGAGCTGAGTTCAAAACCACACCACCGCCACATCTCGTTTTTTTTAACATTCGCAGTCAGCCTATGGATGTCCACAACCCCTTTCGTGAAAACTGATGATACAGTAGTATATTCAATAAATAAAAACCAAGTAAAAACGTGGTAAGTTTTATAGCTATGACTCATCAGTGTTGAACGAGACCTTTTGTGATACATCTGTCACCCAATGCATTATTCTGTTTGGTCTACTCGAATCGGAAAAGATATTGGTGAAGAAATATCGCCACAAACCGCTATAATTTTGCCAATCACCGACCGAAATATGACGTAGATTTGGTCAACAGTTGGGAATGTCTGCTAATGGAACACGTTAGGTTCACAGATGGAACGGATTTCATTGAAAAAATTGTCGCAATTCGCTTGTTCTAGCCATAACGAAAAAAGCCAAAAATAGGTGTTGGTGATAAAGCTTCGATCTTCTTTGAAGATCTTTACCAAGTCATCAACTCGAGAAAGACCTTTCAAGGGGGTTGAAATGTAATCACCAACACATCGTGTTTTGGTTTTTTCTTTTCGATAATGAAAAAGCCTTCGAGCAGTAAAAAATCACAAATAGTTTTACGAAAGTGACAACTTACGGTGGTGAGAAATCGGTGTATTTAGAAACTGGTTGAAGGGAGTGAGGTAGTATGGATCAATGAATGAATTATACTGGTTATGAAAATATATGCGGGCTTTTGCCAACCAAACGTCGACCGCACGCACAATTCAAACCTCAAATCGACCGGTTATCCCGACAAATCCCGGGTACATACCAACAAAACAGAGGGGTTGCTACACTGTGGACTGTTTGACATTTGGGATTCGACAGAAGGGATAAATGAAAATGTGAGAATCGCAAGGAATCTTCACATATACAGACAACGCGGATCACGGTTTCCCGCGAGTATGAGATAGGAAAAAGAGTGTAACACAAAATGTCAGGAAAAAACAGGATACGTTGGGAGGAGAGGGTAAGGATATCATCAAAAGGGTTGTGGGAATCGATTTTGCGTGTATGATCCTGACGACCAAAGAAACAATCAGATGGTTGCGGAAGTCTGACAAGAAATCGTGGTCCATATTTTGCAGGCTTACCACAATGGTCGTATATGTGTCATGATAGGTCATCACGAATTCGTTAGTTCCATTCAATTTATCCAACTACCACTCACCCCGCATTGGTGCAAATTTTGTGTAATATCCCAGTAATAGAAGGTGAACTAGTTTTGTAGTACGACGGCTAAATAGGTTAGATCTGGGAGAAAACAACTGAGGCCTGATATCCATTTTTGTATAATTTATTTGCAATCGATGGTCGTGAAAACTTTCCAGGACAGTTACGACAACTGCACAANTGACCGATTTCAGTTTTCAGACACTCATTCAGACAGAACTTATGGGGGTCCGACTGAGACCCCGTGCAGCAAACATGAAGCGACGAACTGGATGATACTAACCAACTGAACACAAGTAAGATATATCTATCGCTCCGATTTGAAATGAGCTCATTATGGCCTGTCTGTTCCAGCAGTACGTGCACTCTAAGAGTCATAGCTAGTGCGTGCGCTAAGCGCTCCGCAACGTGATGGTATAAATGAGCAGTGGGATCGGATTACGCGGGCAATGCATTCCGCTAAGAATGCTGCTTGTGGGTATGAGCCTCAAGCTCTTCGGAGACGTTGGATATCTCAGGATTCAGTGGCACTGATGGAGAAAAAGTGGCAAACCCCTACCTGCCAAGATCGAAAGAGAGTTGGGTGGCG